CAACATCCCACAGCTACACATTCAGAAAAAAAAAAAAAAAAGAAACCCAGGAAAAAAAAGCCAACAACTCTTCTTTGTCACCCACAGGAGTGTAGTCTGTCCTCTTTCATCATGTTTCCTGTCTTTTATTTATAGATTTATTTTTTTTTAAATAGAGCCAGCAGAAACTCTTAGATATCTGTATGCGCCAGCTGAGTCTCGCCGAGCCGCCCCGACAGCGTTCGGCTGCAGCACCTCCAGGGAAGGCACCAGCCCCAGGGAGACACTTCTGGTATGGAAGAAAATTGTGGCAGCAAGCAATAGACCTGATCAGATTTGGGGTTTTTTTTTTTCATCTAGTGAAGTTACGAAGTTCTCTGAGACATTGAAGAAAATGACTGAGCGCCCTCCTGCTCCCGCCAGGCGCCCGTGACCCTGCACACCGCGTGCGCAGAAAGGTAAACCAGCAGGGCCAGATGGTTACGGAGCCGAATTTTACAGGCTTGTAGCTCCATCCCTCAAGCTCAGTGGGTTTGTCAGAAATGTTTAATCATAGCCTGAATAGGCTAAAAAAAAAAAAAAAAGAAAAAAAAGAAAAATCATGTCCTTTCCTCACGCATTGAAGCATATAGGACTTCTGGAGGCCATATGCAAAAAAAAAAAAAGAAAAAAAAAGAAAAAGAAAAAAAAAAGTTTGAAACCTGGGTTTGCGCTCTTATTGCTGAAATTCCTACCAACCTGGTTATTTTTCTGACACGCTCTTTCTTCTAAAATGTGATGTGAGACCTTTATGTTGTGTGAGCGAAGGACGTGGTGGAGGGGAGCATCACCTGGGACGTTCTCATCTTGCCATTTTGTCTGCTCTGCTCCCAAGGGATATGGTAAAGCTGGTCTAAACATCAGCCGTCTGTGGAGAGCGCCGAGATGGCCTCTCGGGTGGCAAACGCTGGTGTGGGGAGACCCTGCACCACCGCCGCCCCAGCGCCTCGGGGAGGGCTGCACAGGGAGCCACGTCGGTACTTGTCATTTCATGGGGGAAAATGCCCAGACCGCAGTAATTAAATTACCCTTTTCTCCACGTGTGTGTGCTAAATGGCCAGATTTTTAGCCATTCTTTTAAAGACTCAGCCAAGAAACAGCGGGTGACATCCCCTCCTATGTCCCGTGTCCCATGCGTGTCCTACGCTTTGTGTTACAAAGAACTAAATGCGCCGGTCACGTTATCGCAGCGTGCAGGACCTGAGCTCCCTGAAGAAATTGCAGGGGAAAAGGTGTAGCAATTCTCTCCGATGGCCAGCGAGTCTCGACACCTTGGGTAAGAGTCAAGCGTGCCCCGTGCCCACTGCTCACGTTGGCTTTTCGGAGAGGCAATAAGCAGCTAAGGGGAGTAGCGCTGGGGATTAGTTCCCTGCCGTCTGCTGAGCAATTCAGGCTCTCGCTATACAAACAGCAGTTAGGTCTCGGGAAGCTCAGCCGCACGATGTACTTAGATCTGATAGACAACATTCATTGTGCTTTTAATCAGTGACAATGAATTAAATTGTACATATTAAAAGCCAATTATATAGTAACCTGTAGTTAGTGTCATACTTGTCACTGGAAGCAATACCCCTACCCTACTTACCAGGCCTGTTTTGGAAAACATGTAAAGATCTGTGATCTTTATAAGAAAAAGACTGTTATTTATAAATTACAGGTTGAAGTCTCATTCAGCATAAACTGGAGTCATGCTATGGATTTCAGCTGAGCTACACTGACTAACACCTGGTGAAGATTTGGCTTTTTTAATACTGCAAAATCAGTCAGGGTCACATCAGCCCAGCAATGGTCGGGAAGGGGTGCTGCGTGCAGCGGGACAATTTGGCGCAGAGGACCACTCCTCTGCTGGATTTCCTCGCCCACCAGCAATGACGTCAGGGATGGGACTGAGTTCATATTTAAGCTTTAATTATAATACAGGCTAAACATAAATAAAAGAAGTTATTCCACTTTGCAACTAACAAACATTCATTAACAATAACAAACACACGAGACTCTTCCCTTTGGATGAATATTTCCATTTATTCCAACTGGAAAAAACATTTTTTTAAATATACTTAAGTGGTTTTTTTTTTCTTTTTAAAGGAATAATAATTATCACACTGTCCTTTACAAACAACAAAAAAATTCCTAGCAATAGTTTGTGGTATGGAGACATCCACCGTCAAGATCTCCTGTATCTGCTGCTTTGAGTAGGCAATGCTTTGTTCCCACGCTCTTGGACAGGGTGCTCAGGCCAGCGCCAGCCCCGCTCTGGCACCCCATGATGCTCCTAAAGCTTTTGGGACGAGTGCCGCGCAGCGGGGCTACGTCTCCCAGGCGTAGCGCGGGTCAAAGCAGAGGTTTCCGTAACCCGCTGCAGTGCCCGGCTGCATCTTTAGGTGCCAAGAGCCTCTTTGCAAATGCTCCTCCACTGAGGGCAACGGGAGCTTTGCCGCCGGCGTCGGCAGGGGGGACGCGGGGCCTCCCGTCCTCCCCCTCCCAGCACCAAAGGCTGCGAGGAAGCCGTGCCCTGGGAACCGCTGCGAGAAACCGCACTCGTTTGCAATCCCACGCAACATCTGCCTCCTCCGCTGTCCCTCTGGACAACGCGCCGGGACACACCTCGATGTCAGTACCTCAATGGTTTAAAAGCGTACAGAGAAAAACTCACATCCACCATAATACAATACAGTTGAGCCCTATTTATATAACACTCGACCATGTTGATGCTTTTGTTGGTTTGTTCTAGCTCCAGAATCGGGGCCTGATCCCGCCCTGGGGATAAGGCCCCGGCGACAACCAGCCTCGGAGAGGCGAGGGCGTCTCGCCAGGGCAGGACCAGACCCGCTGGGAGTAGCTTGCAGTCGTTCTCTTAACGTGTTAGGTAGTAGGCAATATTGAAACTTCCACTTGGTAATGAACAGCAGTTAACATAACCCAGGAAACTAGAGCACCATAAGACAAGTCTATACTCAAAACAACGTCATGCTGACATCACACAATTGCACCATTACACTTTTATTTACTCCAAATAATAGTTCAACGTTTAGTAACTTCAGCATTCTCTACAGAGATGTAAAATTCCTTCTCCAGCTTTGGTCATTTACAACTTTGCAGACATTTGGTAGTTCTGTTCTTTTCTGTTTAACAAAAAAGTCACTTTTGCAACGGCCAGGATTCCTGTATTTGACTGATAGAGTGTACCTGAAAATCACAGGTGTGAGCAGACTTCAAAATGCCACCGAGGCCTCTTCAAGATTTAATGAGTCAGAAAATGTTCTCTTCATTTACCAGGAAACAAAACAAACTTAAAAAAAAAAAAGTTAAAAAAAACCCCTCAAACAAATAACAACTCAAAAATTCACTGATATACTTAAGAAATATGATGATGAAATGGAAAGGGGATTCCAAAGTACCATTTGTTTAGCTCTGGCTGAAAACAGTTATGAATGTGCATGCATTTTCCCAGTGACTCCTAAGATATAGAAATTCCTCTGATATTACAAAATACAAAAATATTTTCTCCAAACTCTCATTTACATTGCATTTACAACAATCATGGAAATAACTTAGGCTCCCGCACTGTCTGAGAGAGACAAATTACTTACCAAAATGGGTAATGAAAAATAAAAGCGTGGTGGAAAGCAAAAGCTACTAGCAAACTGATGGTTATAGTAAACAGTGGTAACTAAAACATACGGACAAACGGAACTTTAAAGGGTGGCAGTATTTGGGAGAAAGAGGAAAAACTACTAGGTAAATATTAAAGGCTAAAGTGAACTTTTTTTTCCTCAAAGAAAGATGTGCAAAATATATTCACTGTGCCCACGATTATGACTATTTATAGAAGCCAGTCTACAACCTTCTTACAAATCCCTAATCTTCAGGTCTTTTTGTTACAACAAAAGCGCTTACATGATCTAAAACAGTGCAAGTTTGTGAGTTCATTTACATTCTCTGAAGGTGCCCGGCAAGGATGCCATTAGGATATGATACAGTTTTTGCTCTTTTGCCTTTTCCGGCTGTGTAACTGTCCTCTGCCGCCCAAGGTGGAAGACTTGGGCATGCTGTAGGAGCCGTACTTGTGCAGGAGCTCTTCGCTGGTCACGTACCGGAGGCGGGCGGGTTGTGGAATCGGTTCCCCGAGGAAATAGCCTTCGTTGTCGGACTCCGAGGAGGAGGAGCAAGTCGAACACCAGTCGTACTCGGCAAAGTAGGGCCCCCACCGCTCGCCCAGGTGGTTCTGCAAGGCGAGATCCGACACCGTCCGCGGACACTGGCCGTAGACGTCCCTGCGGGGACCGTGCTCCATGGCCTCTCTGCAGCTCCTCTGGTGCAGGAACTGGTCGTAGTCTTCCCTGGCTCGCAGGGACGGCCGCTCCTTCAGCCGGCAGCACTGCTCGCTGGCGAGGTGGAGGGCGTTATCCGAACGGGAGCGGCGAGACCGCCGAGGCCTGTGAGGGCGGTAATGCCGGTCGTCGTCCCGCAGGTTAGTTCGTCGGCGCGTGCGCTCGCTCATGGGGGCGTGCCTAGCGCCGTCCTGCGCGGCCAGTTTGCTCGCCGGCACCCCGCTGCCGTAGTCGAAGCTCTGGTGCATTCTCCCGTGCGACGGCCGCTCTCGGTACCCGATGGGGCTGGCGAGGTTGTGCAGGTTCGGCTCCATGTCTTGGTACTGCTGCACGGACAAGAGGCTGCGGACGGATTCAGCGCTTCGAAATTGCACGGAGGAATTCAGTGTCCCCATGTTGCTCATCTTCTCCGAGACGTTCATGCCAGAGTCTTTGCTCAGGTCTGGCATCGAGAATCTGGAGAGATGCTCCTGGCGCTTGGCTCCGCCATCTGCAGAAAGGCCTTCGCAGGAAAAGGGGAAAGGAGGAAAGAGAAGACAGTTAAGAAGGAGAGTTTTCTGTCAGCAGAGATGCAGCAAGAAGAGCTGGTTTTAACCTGAGGTTGTGGACTTCTGCTTTAAAAAAAACTGGGCCCTCCTAAAGAGCCATTGAAGAGGCTGTTTTTTTTTTTTTTTTTTTTTTTTTAAAAACACTGGGGGTTTCTTTTTTTTTGGGGAAATTGCACCAATTTAAGGCATTTTGAGCTGGACTCCAAGGAACGCTACATGCTTTTCATGACTTCCTTCTCCATATGTCTATGCTGTCTGCGACTTGACAGGAATAACTAGTGATATCCAGGGACAAATTCATGCGTCAGAGGTAACCTGAGGTCTCCCGCGTGCTAAAATAAGTAGGGTGCCATGATCCGGCACCCACACCTTGTACGAGGACGACATATTCTGAAGGAGTTAACAAAATCTAAAGCCAAAAACAGTGCCACCAACTACTTCAGATTCGTCCCCAAGCAGCACAGCCACAGGTCCCAGGATGACACATGTGACAGGACCATATGAACGCAGTCCTAAGCTCAGCCAGGAGAAAGCGGATGAGCACAAACCCAGGCTAGTCCACCACCACCAAACTGCCCTCACACACCTCCTCCCAGTGAGGGGAAGGCGTCTGTCCCTAGGCACCGTATGTCTCACTGCCTGAGGTTCAGAAGGAGCAAAAAACTAACTGAAGTCAGAGACCACCCACTGGAGTTCCTCGTAAGTAGAAAAACAGCTCTAGGGTCAGGTCGTGAACAGCTCAATGCAGATATCCAGGGAGTTGGACATGGAGAGGAGCCAGGAGAGACAGCTCCAGCTTTCAACATAGCCCCGATGAACTTCCTCGCTTGGGAAAGTGCCCGCTGGGTCTCCCTAGTCCGCTCGGCAAGCCCTGAGCTCCTGCAAGGTGCTTTCCATCAACCTCCAGCCCGAAAGGCCTTCAAGCAGACAGCGGAGAAGCGAGGAGTCAGCTCAGCACCCTCCCGTGAGCGAGACGCTCAACACACCACGCATCTCCCCAGTCCCTGGCTTGCTTTCTGGGTGTCTTCTGGCTATTTTCTGACTATCTTCATGTTGGCTTGACAACTGGCAGCAGTAAACGCTTGCATTACAAGCTCAGGACAGCACATTTTGCAAGTTCTTTCGAAGGAAATACATTTCAGCCCAAATGAAATGCAGAGTGTTTGCTTTGGCACTTTCCTCCTCGTCATTCTTTGACAATCACCCTGCGCAGACCAAATCCTGAGTACTGTGCACCATCAGCATGATTTTCAGCATGACGCACACCCCTTATGCAATCACCAAGAATTTATGACTTTGTAAATTAATTAAAAAAAAAAACAACCCAGCCCACAATTCAAGAATAAACTGCTTTTTCCCTTAAGAAAAGCTGCTTAAATTTCATCAAGAGCTCAGTTCCTCTGGCATTAGCTGTTGCCTGCCAAACATTAACGAGAACAAGGTCTGCTGTTAGCAACCCTGCTTACAGTCTGGTTCCGTGTTTCTTCGCGCTTGGCCTGAAAACAATCCACTGATACTGCAGAAATGGGTAAAGTCTTTTTCAGAAGTGCCCATCCCAGCCTAACCCTATCCTCCGTGGCTCCAGCACTCCAGTATAACCCGCTGTTGATATTCTATCCCAGGTCTTGCACTATTTGGCTTTATTCCCTGAGTCCTGGCCGCCGCAGAAGTTATAAAGTGAGAATCTCTGCTTGTTTGCTTTTCTGCTTTAATCAAGATGTTTCTCGACTTTATGACTGTAGAGAAAAGTTAAGTGAAGGCAACCCCTGGATGCCCTAGGAAAAGTGAGAGGCCAGGCTAAAAAAAAAAAACCAAAAGCCATACATTTTGTTTCGGAAAGGATGCATTTTTCAAGCCCGTTTCATGACTTCTTTAAGCGACTCCGATCTCCGGTTTCGGTGGGGAGCGAGTTAAACCAGCCCTGCTGCTTTCGGAGCTTCCCACCGGCCGCGTGCCTTTGGAGACGGTCCCGCACGGCGCCTCCCACCCGCGCACGGCTACCTGCCCGCTTTTCCCCCCGCTGCCGTCATTAGAGAGAGCATTTCCTGGCGAATGCATCCTCCCCGCTGGAGCTGCTCTCGTTTGCGTTTTTGCTCGCCCTTAACGCCGTTTGTCACGTCAGTCGCTTCTCCCCGGCCTCTTCCGAGCCGCCGCGGAGCAGCTGCACGTCCCCAGGTGAGGGAAAAGCAACTTCTCGACACGAACGAAAGCCTCTTGAAAGGCCAGCGTAGCAGCGGGATTTCCGGTGGAGCTGATCCAAATCCGCATCCCGGCTGCTGCCAGCTGAACTGGGCCTTAATCAGATTTGTCAGCCAACAGCTAAAGAAAACGAGCTCTGGGTGACGTTTGTGCCACCCCTCCTTAGGAAAACCGGCGCAGCGCTGCAGGAGGGCAGAAGAGCAGCAGCGCGAACGCGGCTTCCAACGCCAAACACCGCCCTTCAGCGGCCTCAGCAGCTTCCTTTGGGCAAACTTCCTCCGAAAGGGGCCGCGCTCGCCCCGCTTCGGGGGGACC